GGTCAGGTAATTTTCATTTTCATACCTTTCACAAAGAAGTACCTTATTTTTAAGAGGAGAGTACGTGGCAGCTCTGTGAGACGCATAGTGTGTAGTCTCCTCTTTCCCTTCCGCAGAGTGAAGAAAGGCGACTGACTCCAGGCCTCTACCTGCGGAACAACCCGTGCCTATCAGAGCAGAGCACGTTAAATGTGCATATTTTTTGCATATAAAAATTTCCATAGTCGCTTGAACTTGAATTTAGAACAGATCTTCAATCCATGGACTATCGTGTGACCGAATGCCAGCCATGCAAACCAACGATGGCACAACCGAAGCACACAAATGTGCAATTCCTTGGAAGCTGCCTTCAAGGAACTCTTCAAATCTAAGCCTACAGCACCAAGTTACTCCTTTACTAGATGCATACAGTTCATCTCTGCTTCCTTTTTTATTCAGTGACTTATCGGAGCTTTACAAAACCTTAACCTCTGTGGGTAAGGTAAAATTAAGCATATTGGATTGTATAATAGTCTGTGCCTTTGGTTAACGTTTGATATACCAGTCACACAGTAACAGTTGAACATGCGTCGTTTCCATTTAGTTCTGTTTTGTCAACGACCATTTTGCATGACCTTACGATATAACGACGGCTATGAAAATCTTACCGGTGTTGAAGGTGAAATACCGGAAGAATGTAAATTTACGTTGAACAAATCGTATCCTCGGCTTGACTTCTTGGAAGGTGAAGGCTTCGTCTCGCAAATAAGGAAACAGTCGTCGTCGGATGATTCGGTAGGCTGTTTGTAAATGTTTACAAGAAAGTTTGAATTCAAGTATAAAATTTATATGTTCCTAGGCATTATTCAGTGAAATATTTGAAATAAGTCGTTTCAGTAGAAGATTTCCTAATACAATGATTATTGGTGCAACAAGAACGTTGCAATGCATGTCATTAATTAACATTCAAGCGATCGATCGACGAATCTTAGGTGTACTAGAGATGGTCGATATCATTATTTCGTTAAATCAAGACCTTCGTGGTAGAAGGGCGCATTTTTTTCCATGCAGTACAATCAATGACCACCATCCATAATAATTTATATCTATCGATTGAAGTTGGAAGCAATAGTTGAGGGACGGCATCAAAAAGCGAACCTCAGTTAGTTAGTGAAAATTACTAATCTGAACCCTAATGCATTATAAGTTGCAGTAATTTTGGATATAACAATGAACAAACATTGAATCACAGAACGAGCAATGAACTTAGATCTACATCGCGCTGACCGGACTATGGTCGAAAATGACAGTTGTCCTTCTTTTCTGTATATACGCCGTATGAGATGAAGGATGCAATGAGCAGAAGTACCCATAGGCGGAAAACCACTAGTACCGAAACATCGGGGATTGTTTACTATTGCACAGTCCGGTAACGCTTCACGTTTTCTTCAAAATCAAACGAGGTCTTGTAGGTTAACGTCATCAGTGAACATAAGCGGTTGACTATAAAACCCGGAGTCACCACTCTCATGAAGTTTCTCCACAAAGAAATCAATGACGGGGAGTTTGCTGTTGGAGGTTATGTGCAGATTGCCAAGGAGAATGCCGGAATACGTGTATAGGCTTCCTGAGAGAATCGCTGCGCTCACTCGTGTTCACACGATCAGGAATTCAGATATGGGAGAGAGCCTTGGCGTAGCCGCTGCTTCTCCAAGCTGATAATTCACAGGATGGTTTGGGCAGGTATTGCGAATGGTTCCAGAACGATACTCGAAACAGCTACTACTTCTTGACAACCGAACTTAACTTAAGGTCCTGGGGCGGCCAAGATTAACTTGAAGTAACTGTCTGAAAGAACTTTTCTTCAGACTCGAATTATAATGCACTCAAACTGAAACGTTGGCACATAACCGGGA